AAAAATTTGTGTAATAAACTAATATGTCTTTGAGAAAATGAATGACTCTAGGGTCAATAATTGTTGTATATTGGTTTGACATAATGAACACGGCAGTATTTGACAGGAGTAGTTATTAGCGATGTTTGAATTAAACGGTACCATTATTCAAATTGTTTGGTCTCGTTTACGAGTATCTTACGAACCTTTTAAGGCTATGCATGTAAAACTTAGTAATAAGTCTATTCATAATCATTAGTAAGGTCAACATCATGTCAGAGTGAATACGAATTAATAACATTGATGCCTAAAATGTTTATTATATATATTGATTTATAAACTTTATCAGGTATTTTGAACATCATAATACTTGCATTATTAGAGAAAGATATTTAATTTTTGCACAAAACTATCTCTGTTTATAATTCCGTTTTGCGTCACCAAGTTGCGAACCAAAATGGTTATACGCAAAAAGCGTGCAACGAAACTCGACCGCAAAACTTCTAATTCCGCAAAAGCGATCGTAGTTTTTCAATAAGCAATAAATAATGTAATGCAACGTAACGGTGGCGGGCACGCGCCACTAACAAGGCGCTCGCGCCGTGCGCCGTGCCATCGTTGTGCAACTTGCCCCACCCTACCTTGGCACTTTATATTTTATACGAGGGATAAGCGAAAAGCGGATGCAAATTGAATTCACTAATCCACTGTGAGTAGTAGGTACCATAGTGGATAAGCGCAGCGGCCTGCGATCGTTGTTGTTAAGCAACTTTCGCAAGGGTTTGGTGACCAAAAAAATAAATTATTATTAGAGCTACAGCGTGCTCCGGATAACACGTTAAATTGTTGGTTCCGGTTGCATTTGCAGTCGTTAATATTCTCTAATCCACCTTGGACCCGCATGGAGGGTCATGGCCCATTCTCCTTAACCATTCATAAGAAAGGCCTGAGCCCTGCAGTGGGAACGTAAAGGGGTTATTAATGATGATGACTCCACTGGTATATCATTTTTACATGGGGAAACTCATTTTTTTATGCATGGGCTTATCCCATCTTATGCCTTAAACCAGATCTCACCAAACATTGAAACCTGTCCCGAGGGTGGAGATGGAGGTGGAGTCAAAACATGGTGCGAAACCTAACAAAACCAGCTGTGGAGTACCCTCGTGTAATGGTAAAGATCCAGGATCAGGCCCAGAAACTCATATCGATATCCTTCCATGCATAAATTAAATTCTTCTAAATCTAAATTTTATTTCAAATTAAATAGGAAATGTAGTTAATGCAACAATGGGCGCTATAAAAATTATTCCTGGAAACAATAATAGTTTTCCGCCTTCTTCAGATATAGATTATTGATTGGTGTGGCGGGTGACTCTCTTATAATAATATTTTGCCTATGTGTGTGTGGGTCGTCTACAATGTAGGTAGTTGTTCTATTCATCGTTGTATAATATTCATTCCTAATTTAATTCATAATTTTATTCTCTGAATATTTCTGTGGGGTATTATCTTTTAAATTGTACCAACGCCTTATTGATTCCGTTCTTCACCAACCAGCTTTAGTAGTGATACATAGTTAATACATATGAACTTTCTGACTCCAAACTAGATCTAACACGAGCCGACCGCCATTTTAAGTAACTATTGTTCAAATAGAAGTAAATCTCTGTCTATTGTTATGAAATAAATAAACCTTTTCTTATTTAACAGCGCAGAATGAACTGTCCTTGAAACTGGTTGTACTTTCTAACGCATAGCAGTTTCGATATCGACAACACGATGTACTTCACTGATAACGGTTTGTAATTATTATAGTTAATAACCACTTCTGTTTGGTTAGATATAATTAATTTTAGGCATATTTTTTTCATAATATAGTCTATGTATAGTTCATTATCATTACGATATTTTAGTTTCAGATTACTTACATGATATACAAATTAATTATGATGTTATCAAAAGAATGTTATAAGCACTCGCCAAAGGAGGCTTGATGTAACTTTTGTGTTGCATTAACATAGTGACCCTCAGTAAAACAAACACATTTGTTCAATACGAATGGATGATAATCTGAAAATATAGACCAGCATCACACTGGTTAGCTTGTAGTATGACAGCTGGCACTTGGTCGTGATTAGGGCATGTAATATTCAATTAACGAATACCTTTTTAGCTTGCGTGGTGAGTCCACTGTTCATTTTTGTTTGTTTGTGCAATAAAAATGGTCCTTCAACAGATTGTAGCGTATTGCTTTAGGCAAGATTAGAAATACTACGTAAAAAAAGACAAAAATTGAAGTATTCGAATCGTTTGGGTCATGGCTCAGACCCTGAAGAATATATGGTTTTATTTATCGCTACACAAATCTTCTTGCCAGGTATTTTTAATCACCTGAAGATCTTAAGAATTCTCGAGCATTACAATTATTGTCTATTTTGTTTGAGTAATGTCTCAATCACAAGTACCTACCTACAAATTGTTGGTTTTATAATAACAGTCCATGTTAAAAGGGCCAGTAGTTCGCTCCTCTAATGATTCTAATAAATTTACCAGCCCACTAAGATGGCGGTTTCGATGTTTCTGGGCGGTTTCGTTTGTCGCAAATTAATGGCAATAAAGCATAATCATATCGTAAACGCCGCTCGTGAGGCTGCGCAAGCGACGTGCCCGCGGCGCCCTTCGATTCCAAGATGGCGGCGTACGATTTGCATCGTATTAGAACTTTTCATAGTTTAACTAGCCTTATTTTGTATTTTTTTTAGCGGCACGTGTGCGCTAGATTAATATGTGACCTACTTAGACCTTTTTGTAGTGTTATGGTAAATAGGCCATGCTCTTATTTTCCTTCGTGTCGATCCTCCGTTTACGCAGTGGGTTTTATTATTAGGTAGGCCAATCATCTGCGTAGGAAGTGGTCTTCAGGCTATTCCCGTGCTTCGCCTCTGTGAAGATGGACAAGTGAGTAGGCCCTAGATATTTTAGAGACAGAGTCCCTCATTATCTGCCGACTACGCGCAGGGGGAGCGGGTATCCGTTATGCATTTCAATGTGTCAAAAAAAGTTAGACCCAGTTTTAATGTATCTATGAAAAACCGCAAAAAGCCCTTTTGAATATTTATTTTAATATTTTTTCAGTATTTGTTGCTATAGCAGTAACAGAAATACATCATCTGTAAAAATGTCAACTATCACGATTCATGAGATACAGACGGACAGATGGACGGACAGAAGAGCCTTGCTAATTTTATAGGGTCCTATTTTTATCCTTTGGGTACGAAATCCTAAAAATTAAGCTTTTTTATTTCTTAACAAAAAGCTTTATTTGAATTTAAGGTCTAAGACACAACAACAACGCTTTGCGTGGTCTGTTTTATTATGGACGCATGTCGGTAAAAAATCATGAAGAGGGAAAACCATGGCGAAAGTGAAATACTACAATCAATTTTAATGTTATTTATTTCATTTTGACAAGGTAATCGGTGACCTTTGAACGACTAATAAGTATCAAAAGTACAAAATGATAAAGGTAATATCTCTATCTCCTATAGATTCTACGTTAAGTTAAATAGCATCTCGTTGCAATTTGGTACGAGTGTTTTGAAAAATATGACTCCAACTTTATTATTTAGTAACCTCTGATCTTACATATATTTTATATAACATTAATGTAATGGAAACAAGAATAGTATTTGAATTTGTTTAAATAGGTACAATCAATAACAATATTAACTTAGGTACAGATAAACGAAAAAATATTATCTGAAATGCAATTCAAATAAAATAAAAAAGCTAGACTTGTAATGAATCCTATAATCATATCTCGCTCATTCATTGGAATCAATGCTTGTATAAAATTTTGAGTATTCTTCTCTGAAGACAGTTGTATTTAAAGGAATAAACGGCTGCTTTTAAATTTAGAAAAATAGATACGAGTATTATCTACATATTGAAGTCTTTTATATTTTAATTACATATACGAGGGTCAAACTGAAAGTTCTTAGAACTGGCCACTTATAAACAATATAATAAAAAAATAATTCTAAAATTTGAAAATATAACTCTTTGCCAATATTACTGAGTATATATTTCATTCATTTGTCATTTGTTTTACGATTTGGCGGCAAATTGAAAATTGTCTGTGTCACGTCATCATGAATTTAACACGAGAAAATTTTCGTGCAATGATTTTTTATGACTTTCGATGTCATTTAAGTCAACAAGAAAGTTATGATAGACTACGATTGGCCTTTCACGATGAAGCCCCATCTCGTGCGACTGTTTACAACTGGTTTAATGAGTTTAAACGTGGTCGCACTAATCTCACTGATGATTTACGTGAGGGACGGCCTTCTACGGCGACGACTGAAGATAACATCTGTGTTGTGCGGCGTATGATAGAGACTGACAAAAGAGTGACCTATCAACAGATTCGGACAAGCTTAGGCATCGGTATGAGTCAAGTGCACAAAATCCTCCACGAACATTTAGCGGTCAGGAAGCTTTGCGCCCGGTGGATACCTCATAATTTGACTGAGGCTCAAAAACTCCATCGTGTGGATTGGTGTCGTAAAATGATTGAAAGATTTAACGGAGGTGACTCAAATGCTGTGTTCGACATACTAACAGGTGACGAAAGCTGGATTTACTGTTATGATCCTAAAACCAAAAGACAATCTGCTCAGTGGGTGTTTCCTTTCGAGGAGTTGCCAACTAAAGTGAAGAGAGATCGAAGTGCGGGAAAAAAAATGGTGGCCTCGTTCTTTGGAAGGATAGGTCATTTTGCAACAATTGTGTTAGAGGATCAAAAAACAGTTTCTGCAGAATGGCACACTACCAATTGTTTGCCACTTGTCTTGGAAAAAGTTCGAGAGAAACGACCTCGCAGTAGGATCCTCCTTCACCACGACAACGCCTCGTCGCACACCGCCAAGTGAACGATCGACTATTTGGCGACATCAAACGTTGAATTACTGGGTCACCCGCCGTATAGCCCCGACCTCGCGCCTTGTGATTTTTATTTATTTCCAAAAATTAAAGAAAAACTTAAAGGAAAGCGGTTTATGAATGCTGAAGAAGCGGTGGCTGCGTATCGCGATGCCATTGAAGAGACCCCTAAGGACGAGTGGGCAAAGTGCTTTTCCCAGTGGTTCCATCGCATGCAGCGGTGTATTGACGTGAATGGACAATATTTTGAAAAGATATAATAAAACTAATAACTGGCTAATGTAATCAGTTTTTGATTTTCTAAGAACTTTCAGTTTGACCCTCGTAGTATACATACGGATTCAAGTGTCTTTGATAGATGTGATTTTTTTATGATGTGGAAATTTGTTAGATCTACGAAAACTGTAACGTTAAAATTAGTGATTTAATTTTAACAACAAATTTCGTAGTAATAATACCCAGTATTTAGTCGAATACAAGAACTAGCCCAATGAGCCCAATACCAAATACATATTACAAGTCTAGTAAAATTTCGGTACAAAAGATAAATATAAAACCAAAGTTAGTGCAAAACGCAGTTTGCTGTTATGACCTTATGTTATATTTAAAGCTTTACTCAACTTTTATGGAATAACAGCATGATTATATGTATGTAGGTGTCACAAAAATACCCGTTAAGTCTGAAAGGTAATTGATTATATATAACACTAAAATGCCTTTTTGTATAATTATATCGATAACATTTTGTAAGAATAACAATAATACAGTCAAGTGTCTGGGTATTTTATCAATATTGTAAAAAGTTAAAGTTTCTCCCTTCTTTTGTTTATAGGACGTAATCTTCGAAAATACTGATTCGAACATGAAAATTCTTACGCCTATGGGAATTTGCTCAGACGGCTAGTTAATAATAAATTTTGATATTATTTATTTCTAAACGTAAAAAACGGTGCCTATTGAGCCACTTTAGTGTTCAGTCGATGAAATTTTAAGTATAACAGGTATTTATATAACATCTATAATTATACGTACATACATAAGTAGGTACATTGTAGAGTTGGTTGTAACGATACGAGGGGTACAAACTGAAATATGTACTATATTTTCTATACGCAAGAAAAGGTAACATTGATAATGTTTTATGTATATTTTGTGATAAATTACTAATGATACAATATGTCAAATTTTTGCAATCGATTTTGAATTCTACCTCAAGTAAATGAAGTTTTAAAATCAATCAAAAAATATTGTATTAACTAAAGCTGCGTTTTTGACTATTGTCACTGCGTTTATTAATATATAAATAATAATTTCAGGAAAATATGTATAGTAAAATATTACCAATTGAATTGAAAAATTATAGTAACATGTATTACTCGTAACAATAATGGAGATCTATCTATACTTAAAAGGAACGTTTAGATAATTATATTTCTTTGAATGAGACTTTTTTATTCGCATTTGTATGTCCAATTGTATATATCAGTAATAAATTAATTAAATCACAGTTTTAAAATTATCTTAAATTTAGTAATTTGGAGTACATGATTAAATCATTTTAGATTGAATAATCTCTTAACTGATAAAAATTTCTAATTTAAAAATCTCAAAACGTATATTTGATAAAATATATCTAATTTGCGTAATATATTCTGAAACTTAACAAAAGTATCTAACACGTTGAAAAATTAAATTTCACGAGTCGATACAAAAAAAAAAAACGAAAAAGAAAATAATTTACGCAACATGAAGTAAAAGTGATATAATAAATTTCGAGTAGTTAGACAACTTCTCTAACAAATGATAAAAAAATATTTATAATATCTTCAATAAGCAACAAGATATATTTTTATTGGTAACCGGCGTTTCCTTTCAGACTAATAATACTAATTACAATACATCGATCAAAGCGGAATTTACAAAAGAAATAATACAAATTACTTACATTTCATACACTATTACTAAATACCAAGTATGTTTTAATTCTAATAGAACACTCTCTGGACTCTTACTTTTTAAAAGCTATTTTGTCTTTAGGACAAGGAATATTATTCATACATGCTAACTGTATACTATTCGGTAGTGAATTCGGTATTCTACACTCCTTCAAAGATATTCGTATATTTACAAGTTTAAGTACATACATGAGATGCATTATCACTTTATTTTTTACAATTAATTATATACTAGTAGCCAACAAAAGGCTCAGAAATAAATCTTCGTTTCACTCGCTCGAACAATGTCATGAAAACGCTACGGTAACAATTGCATCTATCTATTTGGATATATTTTTGCGAGTAAAGTTTCAATTGTCAACAATAATTAATGTTATTGTTCTTAAATTAATCAAAACAATCTTTTTAGCAGTTCCAATTTTGGACTGTATTTTTAGTATTTTCTTTCATAGAAACTGAATTTGGCTGCGCATGCACGGCCTAATGTACATCGGAGCGTCACCACACGATCTCTGTTAACATTTTTTTAATATTACGTAAACATACACAAGAGTCATTTGGATGTATAGACCAGATTATTGAGAGGGCGAATGTGATATGGGTCCGCCATCAGGTGTGGTCGGCGGCTGTGGCTGCGGCGGCGGCGGCTCGGCGGGCCGCAGGCGCCACTCGTCCCATAAACGACCTGATCTCTTCGAAATACGTCTCATCCGGTGACCGCCGACGGCTGTCGTCTCCGTTCTCCGCCTCATGTTTCTTCAGATGCCTATCGAGGTTCGTTTGCTGCCCGAAACAACGGTCGCAGTGACGACATCGGAATGGTCTCTCTTTGTTATGGATATTTCTCACGTGCCGTTGAAGATTTGACGATATAGAGAAGGATCTCTCGCAGTACTTGCAACGATACGGTTGCTCACCGGTGTGCGTTCGTAAGTGTCTCGTCAAGTTTGCACTACGGGGGAAAGCTTTCCCGCAATAGGAGCAGGTGTATCGGTCCCGAGCTCTAGGGGCGCCGGCATTTTGAGGTATGGGTGGAGCCCGAGGAGCACCCGGAGCCAGCAGCGTCGCAGCAGCGGCGGGGAGGAACGGGTATCGGCCGAACGAGGCCGGCAAGGCTAGCGGAAGCCGTCGGCAGAATTGCAAGAGCGCCGGGTGTGCAGGATGAGCGGGGTGCGTGGGGTGCGGCGGTGGTGACGGCGTGATTAAATTGCAATTTTCATCTTCTAATCTAGGCGGACGTTTGTGGGTGACTCTGAGGTCGAGGGGTTCGTCTGCGCGTGGAGAACTGAGTGGACTGTGGCTGTGGTGGTCGCGCGGGGAGTGAGGCGGGGAGGCGAGGCGGCGCGGCGCCGCGTGCTTTTCGCGCATGGCGGCCGCCGCGCACGCGCTCATCGGGCTCGTGCGCCACCGACCTGCAACAATCATACGGCCATTAGAACTTGTATTACTTATTGATAGTGATATGCAGTAGTATTTTTTTTTAATATGCACCTTTTGACATGTCCAAAACAACGACTATAAGTGACTTAGACGTTTTTCGTTATAAGTATTCGTTATTGTAAAATAATCAATATAAGTAATAGATAAAACTTTAAACTTGAAATTTCATTTCAATTTACAGTATTTGCTGGACAAGATTATATGATGAATTGTCGATATTCATACCAATATTTATTCAATGTTTTCCGCACGAGTTCCCGAAATTATTTAACAGACTGCTACATGTCAACTGTCCGCCGTAATAGAACCTATCAGTTAGGCGTGTCCAGCGATTGCTTCCTACAACCTTGACAACATCCTAAATGTGGTATGCTAAAGCTTGCGAAATGACGCGCCTTAGCGGGGGTGGCAGTTGGCTCCTACGCGGCGTCGACGTACGCCCACATAGTTGCGACATAGAAACTGGAGCAGCTACCGAAGCGACGATGTTACCAAGTTAATTATTAACACGGTTTTATCGGACATTTCATTACGCTATAAATAGTGCCTTCGAACAAATTGCTAATATCCTAAAACAGGTATATCAAGGGGTACGGCTTCGTCCGGCCTTCCTGTATTCGATGTACTTTAATCTCCTCTTTCGTAAGAGCTTCGTGTAACGAACGGCGCCGAAGATAAATCGCCGGATAACAAGTCGATTTTGAATGTTTTGGTAAAACAGGTTTTTGTGACTGACGTGTAAGGTGCTACTTAATTCGGTAATATAGGTACTAAACCAGCATTAATATAATATATTCTTTGTATTAACTTTTTTTTTATGGAATAGGGGGCAGTCGAGCAGACGGATCATCTGATGGTGAGTGATTACCGCCGCCCATGGACACCTGCAACACCAGAGGAGCTACAAGCGCGCTGCCGGCCTTTGAGGGACGAACGAAAGTCAAATAAGCAATGCATATTTTATGAAAATAAGTAATAGCTAAACTATTTAAGGAAACCAAAAATGGCCAGAGAAATATTGAGAATGAATTTCGAGTGAAAAAGAGGTAGGATATGCATGTTTTTTGTATAATTTACTTGATTTTTTCAGGTTACATAAATATTAAACATTAATTTATTGTTTCAGTTGTTAAATGGTATTAAAGCCGTCTTCTGACAACTATATTACTTCCGGTTGCACAAATTTCTATTAACGAGTTTAAAGTTAAATTACCGAAAAAACAATTAATATTTAGAACATTCATGAAACCATAATGAACATTTGTATAACTAATAATATATAGCGGTAGTGAAGCGGTAGTCTGACAACTTGATGGAGTATGCTTTTGAAGAGGTGTAAAACGATATTGTTGTGCTTCCACAGGTTCCGCTTCCGCCCACCTCTGTATTCTGTGGTAAAAGTCCTTCAACTTCTTTCGACTATCTGATGTTCATTTTTAATATTCTAGTATCTAAAATCACCTGTTTGACTAATTTAGAATAAAAATTTATTAAAGAACGAAAATTTTCAGTGACATAAATTCTTGACCTCAATCTAGCCTAAGAATTGTTTAATAATTAGCTTAGATATGTAATCATATTATTATATAGAATAGTTAAGTCAGAGACTTTAGATGCGATTTTGTTTTATATTTGTTATATCATATTAAAAAGTGAATGTAAAGTATAATAGAACAATACTTTACAAGCCTCTACGCCACTCGAATTTCTTTGATCTTTTACCGTCTCCCTGAAACTCTTCAGCGCCCACATTAGCTCTATCGCCCACTGAATTAGACCATTCTATAGCATCATTACAAAAAAATGATAAGCAATAATCGTGGTACGATAATTTAGACAACTTCATTCGTTTTGATTGATCGGCGCACGCGCATCACCCACGTGAAGTCACGTTGCTTTCGGTATCGACCCCGACAATCGGGACCGCCTTATATGTTAACTATATTACAATTTTATTACTACTTATTAGGGTGATCGATGGCATTTGTCATAGACGACAAGCCATGTTCTTTTTTGTAATGAACGCTGCAAGCAACTGCTACTTATGCCGAAGATTGATGCTTTAGTGAGTTTTTATCTATTGAGATGACACCTTATGGATTACGGTAAGTTGATTGGTGATGTTACGTTTATCTTTGTTAAAACGGAAACATGTGAATGTTGATTTATTTAGTTATTATTAGATGAGTCGATACTATTTAGATTTCATGTTCTTGGTGTGGAATTTTCAGATTTTGCATACATTTAAGGCTTTGAGTTACAAAAATCATTGCAGAATAACATTAATCAGTCAGTACGGTTTTTAATATTTTCTTTAAGTTATTAGAAAGCAGAAAAAAATATGATAAGTACGGAGACAATCACATAGTGTTTACGACTTGATGTTTAAAAGGTGCTTAACATGCGTTGGGTTACGTGAAACTTATAGTACATTTAAAGCTTCGCTTAAACTTTATCGTCCAAGAGATTTATATATATGTAAAATCTTCATCGTCCCACTGTCAGCCCCATTAACATTAGGACTAGCTGTCACGGATTGTCGGCATGCGCTCGCGCCGACGACGTGCTTCTAATTTGCGCCAAAAGCAGCCTGTATAAATCTAACGAACGAGGTTCGGGTTGTACCGGCCCTTATAAGGAACGCTCGTGAAACCAGCCGCATGCTTATGATTTGTTACTATGCCCCAATGGACATCACTTGTGTATTAGCAATGGTAAAACGTTGGACGGGAAACTGCCTGCGAGCAATCTTATTATGGACGAAAGTTCTATTTATACAGCATTCCAATATGCAGGGTTGTTCTTCTCTTCGGACATTTTAAAACTTATTAATCACTATTATTTGACTGAGTCGAGCACAGGGGTTGAATAAAGCCTATTTACTTTATTATAACACAAGTGGCAGCATTGGTTTTTTTTCTAAATAAATCTGTATTCTACTTTTAAAAAATCAGAATCATAAGAATGTAAACTACTTATTTCTTTAGCCAACTAAATTTACAAAATATAACACAGTAAAATTTTAGTTTTTGTGTAATATGAATACTTCTGATCAACATTACAAGACGAAAAAACCGTTTAGTAATATTGTATACGTTTATTCAAGATGAAATCAAAGCAGAAGAGTCTTAGAACAGTAAGTGGTTTATGGTGTCCGCGGAGAGTCGAGCGACGCATCTGGGAGGCAGTCACGATAAGCTAATTACTCTTAATTAACAAGCTTCCGAAGCGGCGTGACGTACCGGTGGATGGGCGGAGCGAGCGGCCGCGATATGTTAATGCAAACAACGTGACCAATGAGAGCCATCACAGTACCGCCTCGCGTGATATATTACGATTTTGTAACGCTCATTCGTTCCGACCGCTTTGGTCCAACGTAGATGCCCCGTTTCATACGTTTACGCCGACCAGTTTGTTATGTAAACATTAATAAATTGTTGTAATCCGATTTAGCATGTAGTCCGCCTATCATCGCGCCTAAACATAATGTCTCCGTTAAATTTAGCGTGCAACTATAAATTGGCTAATATATCAGCCAGTAAGCATTCGAGGTGTGAATAGGAATGAAGTGTAATTTACACACGTAACGATTTCACGCAGGATTTGTGTGATATATTTTAAATTGTCGATTCGATCGATCAAAATTGCGTACGCCTTTTTTTAAATAAGACAATAATTAAATTTTAATTGCACGCTTGCATTATTTATAATGTGAAACGAATTGATTGCTTGTTGCAGTGTCATATCTTTTAATTGCAAACAAAATCGATTTTAAGTTGTATGACCTAGCTGTGCACTGTCGATTTGAAAGTTAAAATGTCATATGAAATTGAATGTCAAATTAATCGTTAAAATACTATAACAATATATTTATACGAAGTTAAATGCTTAGACATAAAAAGTGGTATCATTTAATGATACTTACTATAAGAGACATAAATCGATAAAGTTATTCAGTATCATTACAATTCAATACACAGACTGACCTAAAGCAAGTGTAAATCGAGTCACATTATCGCGTTAATAAATCATGACTACATCTCTGCTGGACTCTTTTACACAGGTTTTATAGTATACAAGTGAGTGAAATCAACGTTGTCTGAAAATATTTTTTTTAAAAGTTCGTTTTATATGTGACAGTCTTATTTTTTTGTAATCTTATGTTCAGTTATTCAAATTAAGATGTTCAAGAATTAATCAAATAGAAAATTTTATATTTCCCGTTACATGTGGGGGAGTCATTCATTAGATATGCACTCCAATTGAGTGGTCTACTATAAAAATGTGCAGCCACCCGTGGCGTATGGGTGTGAATGCATATGTGATGAGTAAACAGTTACGCACAATTTTTTACGCGTCGCTCACCTATCGTTTAGTTGGACATCGCGTCGACCAATAGAGCTCGTTCCACTTCACGCGCCGATGCACATTTACAACTCCTACTACGGATTCAACAGGCTTAATTTTTCGTACTAAATTCATTGCAGAAAGAGAAGTAATTCCTTTTCGCAATTAAATATTGTTTCGCAATAAACAAAAGAACATCTCAAACGAACTTGCCGAAAAAATCGTGAACCAACTAACAATGGGTTCAGATCGGGAGATTGCCCCACAACCGCTATTGCCACTGTGTATCGATTGAGCGTACAATAAAAAGCCGTTTCTATAGGACGCAATTCTTCGTCACGAAGCGGGTCCTTCGCAATGCCGATGAAATAACTAATAAATTAGCAGTGAACAATCGCGTAGCGAATACAAACGGAAATATTGTGGATGGTGTGTCTCTAACAAACTATTAACAAAAACTACTGTTTCCCATTGCAAAGGGAATGTAAAATATAACCTCAGATGCATATGATTTAATGCAGAAATGATGATTTTATTCATAAATCCGTTACAGTGAGACAATGTTTCCTAGCATTGCGAGCGTACTTGCTAAAGTATTGCTAAACTGTACGAGCTCAGTCCCATAAGTCAAATAGTCGATAACATTCCACCTTATATTCTCATACGATCGTGGTCGCAGCAGATTCACACGCCCGCCCGTTTTTTTAGAGCTCACCGTATCGACAAGCATGATCATTGATTTATTTCACAACACTATTTTAGGAAACATGTCCCTTGGCCCTCTTATGGCCAGATATGAAATTGCTGTGCCTATACAATGTTTAGATTTTAAGTCTGATGGCTCCTTACTGGCGTCGTATATCTGTAAAATATTATCAGTAGCCGGCTGGTTGTTAGTTTTATTTATTATATCGAACGCAGCGATTCTAATATACCTGTTAAAGGAAAACCAACCAATATCCGAGTTAAACGGTTCGCTTCGCTTTACTTACCGATAAAGTTTACTCACGTATTTATGGTGAAGTACATAAACATGATCTTACATTCATGAGTGCGCAATAACTAGAAAATGAGTGCAGTTTTTATTATTATTCTGAAAGTGGTATAGTTTATAACTGGCTCATTGGGGTTGGAATGTGTATGATATTTATTTTATAAATTAGAGATAACTTTTTTACGCACTACATTACTTTCGTTAGAAAGGTAAATGTTAGCAATATTTGACGATTAGTTTTCTTTTATTTCCTAATAGTCAATATAATATTCTTTATGCAAGAAATTCTATTTATCAAACACTTCAATCGATTTACATAATTGGTTAGTTTTGATAGGATAAACAAATTGTCTGTGTAATATTGGCATGCAAATCGATAAATTAAGCTTGTTGAACTTTGACACTTTAAGTATTTGTTACTTTTACTTCTATCAAAATTTTCTATGATCAATTTTATGGATCATTAGGTTAATAAGCTGAGTTATTAGTTAATAATAGAACTGGTTAAAATATTTTATTTTTTAAATTGTAATTATTGATTCGTTGATTCGCAAAAAATATTGAATTATATTAATCATATTTTAAAACCTGTACTTTTTTCTGTTTTAATTAAATAAGATATTTTTCGTTTTTTCCGCAACTTTAAAGAATTTTCGACATCAGTCCAGTAGTTTTGGAGCTTATTTAATGTAAACAAACAATAAAGACTTTCCTCTTTATAATATTAGAATAGATATTTGAAATGAAGTCTCATCACTATTTGTTTTTAAAACTTGTTGTTTTGTTTTCAAAATCTTCGCGTTCTAACAAGTGTTAATCGAAACTAATATTGTAAATACAACCTATTTACTATTGCCGTTAACCACTTAATAGCTAAATTCAAAAATTTTCGTACGAAGAAACATTTTAGAACTCAGCAAAGGACATACGTTACATTTGTCGCAAAAATAAAACTCGTAAAGAAAATATTATTAAGCTTACTATAACAAAATGTATTTAAAAATGCGGATACCAGCTAGTATTTTATATTTTTTGCTGATGTTGTCCAGACAGCAGCATGCACATGCGTCTGACGCATTAATATACTTTTGTGAGAATTAGGGCGTACCATGAGAAACTTAGCTCACAATTTTTTTGCTTTGGATAGTACTCGTTGTTTTATATTTGTATATTGTATGTAAATCGTTTGATATTTTTACTTTGGAATTAATGGATCTTTTCCTTCTGTTAAAGCCAGTGCGGGCGGCTAAAACTGCACAGTAACACCCTACTTGAAGAGAGACTCTTTATGCTCTGAGTCGAGAGGTGAGATTTTGACTCGTAGGTGACATTATGAGAGAAATTAGCTCGGCGTTTACGTTCATCTCACTTACCGAGGGCATTCCTAGGGTTGTTAGTGGCTACACGTTATGGGAAAGATTTTGAAATGAGGAAATATTAAAACGTAATTATTTAAGTAATCAGGTTATCTTTTATTTAGTACTTATCAAACTTTAGTTATATACATGTATATAACAAGATATATCTGGTCTAATTAGCCATCTCGTAAAATACCCGCACGAGCCTTAATTGCATCATAACAGTGCGCGCATTGAGGCGTATTTCGCAACATCGTCGGTGATGTTTTAACACTATGCGCCGTCATTAATTATATATTTTAACACCGGTCGGGGCTTCACGCGGCATCGTAAACTATCACCTAAGATTGTAAAATAATATGCTTAAATTGCAGTCTATAAAATTATGAGAAGCTTACAAATATACTCATAGTTTTATATTAACATTATGCGTTTATAATGAGGAAGTAAACTTTAAGTTTTCCTACGTGGTTTGAATGTTGGCATAAAATTGTATCCGGTCTGGGTGTTGTGGTGCTTTCGTTGGTTCGAGTTTCCATAATATTATACAGGTGCTAGAAATTACTAGATTTGGGAAATGACCAACGTATGTGATGTTTTCTAAATTAATTCTTTTCTTGATATAAAAAAAAAATACCACTTAAGTCCATTGATGTTCTTTATATACAGGAAAAATTTGCTATCAGTGCACAAATTTTATTTTATTTATATATGTATAGATGACCAACAGTTAAAATTACAAAATAATAATCTGAGCATTTAATATTGTGTTCGTTACAATAAATCATACTCTTTCTCTTCATATTTTTTTAACCA